AAGAGATGGCGGTGGGTGGTGATGACTAGCTGCCTTCCCTCTAGTCTTACACTGCTAAATTAGGGACGGCTAGCGCAGATAGCCCTCGTGTAGCTTTGCGCGAAATTCAAAACAAACAAACAAACAAACTTAAAGGCCTAATTGATTACACTGCTTACTTCTTATGTGCCTAAAAACCCTGTTTGTTGAAGAAGGCGCTGAAGTTAGACTGTTCAAATGAAACTGTCGGAGTTTATGAAGTTCTTTAGAACTTTACTCATTAAGAAACAATGCAAACACTACGTAATTAATGACATTACGTATGTCCACATATTAGATAATTTTTATATGATTCAAACAACACAAGTAATGTTTTTCTAAAAATATTTCTCAATTTCTAACAATATCTTTGTAATATAAACATATATTTAAGAAATATCATGAAAGTCTGTTTATTTGTTGTTAAGCACAAAGATACTACGAGTATCAGAACAAAATATTTAGCACTATAAATCCTCTGACTTACCGTTGAGCCACCTGGGGGTTCATGAAAGTAAATTATGTAACAATAATCACAATATTTATGTCACATCAACCAGTCAAACATTTTTCACTGTCTACTTGAATGATAGTATTTCTAACATGATTAAACATATCTCCGAAACATGTTAGGTGAAAATATGTAATGAGAAATCGTGAAATTAGTTCCGCTTCTGCTTTTTTAATACGAATATCAACAGTGACTCTTAATTTTTATCTTTTATGAAGCTGCTTCTGTTCCATTAAATTTATTAATGAAAGAAGTTTAAGTATAAATATTATTCATGATATACGTACATAAGGAAGCGTTTAGTGCTTAATATTTCCTTTGTTATAACCGACATTAAATATCCATAACTCAAGGGAAAGTTTGGATAAAACACTAATGATCCATAACTCAAGGGAAAGTTAGGTTAAAACATTAAATATTCACAACTCAAGGGAAAGTTTGGATAAAGCATTAAATATCCATAACTCAAGGGAAAGTTTGGATAAAACACTAATGATCCATAACTCAAGGGAAAGTTAATCTATCATATAAACAATGACATCACTCAAAATGATAGCTCTGGCCAAAAATAAAGTTGAAATAACTGGGCGAAAGGTTTTGGAAAAGAATGTATTGTTAGCTTAGAAATAATTATAAACAGGGTATTGAGTTTTTCGTTTGGTTCTTTCAGCGCGAGAAACGTTTGAACTCAAAAAAGAAACTTATTTACGCATGTAGGAAAAATTCATATAAACGGTTTAAATAAAACTTTTAAAATCGTTAACACTGTTTAAGGTAATGATAAATTTTAAGATATCTGAATATTGGACAAATTAAAAATAAATACATTTTTAACCAAATGACCATGTCAGGGTAAAGATATGGAAAGCTTTTTTTACTTCATACCAATTCTATGTAATTAATTAAAATAGTTTAACATATAAGATTATATAGTTTGTATTTTTCTTTTTTGAGAAAACATATTTTCATATTTTGGTAATTTTTAATTTTATTTGCATAAGTGTAATCTAGATGCATTTTGATAACAAAAGAAAGGATACCTTTAACTTGAAGTGCGGCTGTATATTCATCTTGACCAGCAGAATTTCGGGCAACACAAGTGTAATTTCCTGAAGTTTCTATGGTCACACTCTTTATAACTAAAACAGACACTATGCCCGGAGAAAGTACAGTCCATTGTGCGCCCGAACGCAAAGGTCGGCCATCTTTAAACCACTGAAACTCATCAGCAGCGTCGTGAGTTTCTAATCCGCAAGTGGCCTGAATAAGTTTACCTTCTTCAACAAATTCGGGAAATACAAAAGGTTGTATCTTTGGAGGCACTAAAAAAAAGGAATTATTTAAAACAAGTAAATTTTCAACGTAACTAGCACTAAGATTTATTAATCTTATAATCGGGAATTATTGTCAATATATCATATGATTTTAAACTTTACTATTCGTTTATCAAATATGGTCTTTCAAACGCGTCTACTTTATTAAAAGGAAAATTGTCTCACCTTGAGCAATAACACGTAAGGAGAAGATAGCAATTAGGATTATGATCTTCATCGACGATTATCCTTTTCAAGTGTGAGCTAGAACATGGAGCGTTCTTATGGGTAGTGTCTTACGTTATCCTCCGAATTTTACAGGTTATGATAACGGATTTTATTATTTATTACGATTTTCTAGCTGGCAAAGGATTCAAAACTGAGATATTACAGAGTGAGCACTGAAAACGGACTTTCTATTATTCAAGTACAAACTTGGAAATTCCTCCCATTGCGAACACGGTCAGACAGATTTTTGCTGTTACTTGTTAGCAACACAAACTATACCTCAAATATGGCGTATATGTGAGGTCTTTGTAATAAATAACGCTAGGCTATCAGCGCCACATGTCGCCAAACCTTAAAACTAAACAAAACCTAAAAATCTGCATATACAGTGTAATTTCAAAAATTCATCTAACTGGTAAAACAGTAAAATCACCATAAAAGCTCCGTCACTTAACAGACTAAATCCTCACAAACATTATAAAATATTATAATACCAAACAGATGTGATAAATGTAATCATAAAATTCGATTAACTATCAGAGATAATCTTATAGTAGTCTATTTCTACGCAAACTTCTGCGACTGAAATTTCAGGTAATTTCCATTCATATTTGTCATTAGAAAGAGTAGAAGATAAACAGGTTTATAATTCTTGTTAAGAAAGATTTGATGGTCCGCACAAAGTTTCTACCTCGGACTACAAGTTGCACAGTGTCAATCAAGGGACTGTCAATTCCATTTGAGACTTTGCACATAAAGCTATTTCTATCTTCTTCAGTGACTTGATAGAGATGTAGAGAACCGTTTTGAAACGTTCTTACTCGTCCTGTTGAAAATATTCTCTCAGTTTTATGGCCCTCTAGTGAAAACAAAAACATAGCAAATGTACTTTCAGAACGATTTCACACAATGTTATCACTCCAAACAAGAATATTCTCGATATTCAAAGTACTATATTATTAAACTTGCTTGAAAAGTTTACCGAATTTATTGAAGTATTGAAAAATAATTCATAACATTCTGAGAATATTCAACTAATAACTGAGTAATAAGACTAATTAAAAAAATAACCATAGTTTATTTAAACAACTATACCATGCTTTGATATTTTCCAATGACAAATACATTTATTTTATACTATATTGGTTTTAAGAAACACCAAGAATGAAAAGAACGAGCCCTTTTAAGCATTGACTTAGATATTTGTAATTCTATTAAGTATTTCAGTATCAAAACACGATATGGGTTTTGCGCATTTTGGGGTAGATTTGAAAACAGATGATTAGCACTATAACATAATTTCATTAGCTCTTAGAATTTTTAGAACAATGTTCTTAACAAACTTACCGTTTACTTTCCACCATTCAACAACAGGTGAAGGATACCCATACGCTGAACATTTAAAACTGACGCTTTCACCAACAGATGCAGAAACATCTATAGGTTTATCCTTCCATTCAGGTGGGCCTAGCAAAAGCAACAGTAAATCAACAGCTATCTATATATAAATAGTAAAATAGGCTAAATAATAACGAGTGTTTCGTTAAAGGAATATGTTTCAGATATTGATAGAAATATAACAGATAAAGCAAATAATAGTGTAAAAAAAAGGAAAAGAAAACCTAAAATAAATGAATGCAAATAACTCCATAAAATGTATTTTAACTTCGTTTATTCATCATGATAAAAACGAAAGTTAAACTGTTAAAAGAAACTAATTGGATGAAGATAAGAAATCATTTAAAATAAGATACCTTACACACTCCTAAAAATAAATAAAATGGGGAATTCGATGTCTTCTCAAACATTTTGTTCAGAAACAACTTAATTTTTACCTTTAACCAGAAGTTGAGAAGTATGTCTGTCTTCTCCGTATTTATTTCGAACCAAACACGTGTAGTTTCCAGAGTTTGACACATTAACACTGTTTATTATCAACACGGACACACTCGGGTGGTTAAGAACGACCACGCCTTGACCAATCTTCAACATTTTGTGGTCTTTAAACCATTGAAAATGAATGGGTTCATCTCCAGACTTTACACCGCACACAACTTGAATCTTTTCATCTTTATTTACGCCTTGAGGAAAAGTGAAAGGCTGGGCTTTCACTGGTACTATAAAACAAACATTTTAGTGATGTGAAGATTACAAACCTATTTACATAAAGTTACATTATTAATTTGCTTCTTACATATAACTATTACATTCTTCAATTCAGATTTATTTTTCGAAAACTCAACAATGTATTTCTTAGTATTAAAAATATTATAATAATGAGTTAATTACTCAGGATTTTGATTTCGACTACACACAAAGCAACAGAAAGTGACGTATTTAACGTTTATGATCAAAACATATATATATATCAAAACAAGCTAGCCTGATAATATTCGTTATAACTAGAATTACACAATATTTTTGCATTCAAATTAATCACAATACCTCTACAAATATTTATTTTTTTATATATGTGCCTTTGAGATACTTTTTGACTAACTCTACTGATAAAGTTAACATATTTAAAAAAATCTTACCGTTAACACATGTTGCGAGACAATTGACCAAAATCAGCAGAAGAAAAACTATGCATTGTAGTGAAGAGACACAACGACGAGAAAGAAATCTAAGTGAGAACATCGATGGTGGTTGGAATGAAGTTCAGAGTGTGTTACTAAATATATTCAATATTAAAATGTAGTAATAACATATGTACACTTTGCACATTCAAAGCAGCAGATTCCAAAACAACAATTACGGGTTTTAAAAAATGCGCAACAACAATAACCACCACGAACTCACTTCTTTACTTTCTTCTTGATCAAACTACAAAATGGCGTTTAGGTTTGAGACCTAGATGTATTTGCCACAAAACGTATTGGTAGAATTGTTTTTACGCTTGCAGCGCCGTTATGTGTGCATGAAATTTTCGAAAATATCTTGCATGACGAGGCAGTAAAAAAGCTAAAATAGAAACAATAGGGTAAAGAGGTTTATTAAATTGCAATTGATAATCACAGTTTCCCTTATTTCGAGTTACAATACTATAAAAATAATAATAAAACCAGAAATAATGTTCTGATATAACTGACACATAAGACCTTAAAAGTAAGATGTGAAAATACAAATGTATTACCATATTAACTCTCAAATTTATGCACAATAAAATCTGTACATAATTTTACTTCTTGTTGCTGTACCAGATGCAAAATTATTTATTAAGATTGTCCACAAAATTTAGCAGCAGAGATCCATTTACCGCAATTTATGAAAATAATGTTTGGCACTTGTAAAGAACAAAGAATGCAATAAACGACGACGTAGAAGAACCATTAGCTTATAAACCCTAACGATACAAGTAATTAGTTATAAAAGAGATAGTTCTAGAGTCTACCTCTTACAGAAAGCTGTACAGTTTTTTGAAGACCTTCGCCTAGTCCGTTTGATACTTCACAACGGTAGTGTCCGCCATCCTCAATTTTCACGTTGTGAATATTCAACACACCTTTTTCTACAATCTGGTGTTCTAATCGTTTCCATTCGTTACCTGTCAAGACAAGCTACGATAAATTTATCTTCTAGCATGAACTTAGGCAAGAGACAAAAATGTTTGAAACAGAATATTAGTCATCACATTACACAATGCTCTGATGTACACATCAAACCAAGTCTTTTATATTTGTTTCACAGTTAAAAGCATGGTTGGGTAAAACATGATTATCGAAGAAAAGAAACAAAACGTTTTGTTGTTATAGAGTTCAATTTTTATTGTACTATACAACCAAAACGAATAATGTACTATGAAAATATAAATATTGTAATTCAAGGTGGATGTTTAATGGAAATATTGATTTGGCATTGTTGAAACTTTTTTTTCCAGTATGCAAAGAAGAGCAAAGTTTTAGTGGAAATACGCATAAAGCAAAATAGTAAAGCAATAAGCCAGGCTTGTCTACCTATCTGTTTCTTCCATTGAATGTGAGGTTCTGGAGATCCCCAGGACTTACATACAAGACGTTCAGTTTCTCCAATTCTGCTCTGTAAATCTGTTGGTTCGACTTGCCATCTAGGAGGACCTAGAAGACAACACAGATTGTTAAATGCAAATGGCAGCCATAAAGGGTATCACCATATTGCGAAAACTGTCGGGCAAGGATTTTTTAAGGGCATCATATAAGTTACTAAAACAACTGCCGGCCAAGAATTTTTAAGGGTATCTTAAAAATTGCCAAAACATCTGCCGGGCAAGGATTTTTAAGGAAAGTGCCCTTGGTGAAAGCGATTTGGGGATTATTCGTTTTAACCCGTCCTTTAATGAACCCTGAATGATTACTTTATAGGACGATATGCATAACCTAACTTATCTTTTCTAGAGTATAAAATATAATATTGGTAGATCTTTTACTTGTATTAGGAATAAAGTGTTTACTTTTTTCTAATGTTACGCTGCCTTAAAACTTTACCATAGACTACTAACAAATTCTTTTGGTAAAAATATAATGAACGTCATGTAGTAATTAAGATATGTAGGATGTAGCATATATTTAATTAACACAAGATATTAGATTACTTAACGCATGATTATGGAAAACTTTAAACAGCCGAATATCCGAAAACCAATGGATCAGTACCATAGTACTAACAACCCCTCATAGGTTAGGTAGAGCTCACGAAATGAAGCCATGAGTGGAGGTAAGTCGCTTTCTTATCTCTTGATCTTAACGTGCAGTAGTTACAGTCAATAATATTTCATATCAATTTATTTAAAGTCATTGAGCGACAAGGGTGCATAAAAACTAAAATGGTTCTAAACCTGAGAATTAGGGGAATTAAACTCAGACATGTATCTCGTTTAATCTTATCGTCATTTAAACATAATACATTTAAAAGAACTAAGATGGAATCAAGTATACTAAGTATAATTAAAACACGTTTTTTCATTTAACAAACTTCAAATTTCAATCTATGTAACATGATTTTGTATATTCCTTTAGCCTCCTTTTTCTGGAGTTTGGTTTGGTTTGAATTTCTCGAAAAGCTACACGTGCTAGCCCTCCCTAATTTAGCAGTGAAAGACTAGAAGGAAGACAACTAATCATCACCACCCATCGTCAACTCCTAGAACTACTCTTTTACCAACGAATAGTGGGCTTGACCGTCACTTTATAATGCCCCCAAGGCTAAAATGGTGGGCGTGTTTGATGGGAAGGGAATTCGAACCCTCAGATTGCGAGTCGATCTCCTTAACCACCTGGCTATGCTAGGCCTCTTTTTCTGGAATCAGGGTATAGT